TGCATTTGTGTTTGGGGAGGGGTAGGGCTCACAGGTGAACAGGTGACGGCTGAGTCACTCAGGGTCACGCTGCGGTCTATTGCGATACAGGGAACGGGCGAGTGGCGTGCCGATCAACGACAAACAATACCCAACGACACCTGTCGCCCACAGTGATTGACTCGGTGGCAGTGGGACTGAGTAGGCCGACTTTGGTCTGCTTGTATGAATGTGGGCGACTGGTAGATCAATTATCGCGTTTTGTATCGTCCGCCTTCTCAGCACTCATAAAATTCGTCTTGCACACATTTCAGCTGATCGATTATCATCCGACCACTCGTTCCCCGTCCCAATAGGCAATAGATATTTAAGACTGCGTCGAGTCTGACCGGTTCCCGTCCCAATGTCTGAGACTGTGCTCAGTCTGACCCCCCCCCCCCCGTCCGCCTCAGGGCGACGCTGTTCAAGTCTGCGCTGATGCCGGCCCGGCTGACGTTCCTCACCGACACGGGAGCAGAGTTCGTCGCCATCTTCAAGTACGGCGACGACCTGCGCCAGGACCAGCTCATCCTGCAGATCATCATGCTGATGGACAAGCTGCTGCGGCGTGAGAACCTCGACCTCAAGCTGACCCCATACCGGGTGCTGGCCACCAGCAGCAGACACGGTGAGCAGCGGACGGTCTTTGCAATCTGGCGGGCCCGTATCCAGGGCTAGACTGGACTGTTAGCTCGAACAGCTTCTCCGTGCGTCAACTTCTATAGTACCTGAATCCTACTCTCCAGGTCAAGCAAATTAATTACAGCTTCGAGGTTAAAGGGACCCTCCCACCTTCAAAAAAGTTAATGAATTGGCATGAAAGTGATGTCGCTCGGTTCAGAAAGAGCAAAAACGAATATCTACCAAATTTCATCGAAAAATATTCACCGGTTTTCAAGATATTAGACTTTTACTTTTGTTTACTTTTTGGGATCTCCGCTGTTCCTAGCGACTTTATTTGAAAGTGCGGCATTTGTTGCGCGCAAAGCAGCATATACCACCGCGTGCTGCAAAACGTTTTAGTCAAACATTTAAAAATCGTTAGATATCTGCGATGACGTCACACATTCAGAGGGGTATTCCTATGCATTAGCCCCTCTGAATCAAAATGCTGCAATTTTGAAATTCAATATTTCCGATTTAAGGCATTTCTCGGTGTTGTGAGTGCCGAAACCGGTAATTGTGAGCCAGGGACCCCATTTTGGCTATCTCAACTCAAATCTAATGTTAAGGTGGGAGGGTCCCTTTAAGTTTATTTTGCTGATTCTGACTTCGAATTCCTCGTATATGTTATTGTTTAGCGTAAACATGATCGATGCATTTTTGCGGTTGATGCTCGGTGTAACCATCCAGCCTGCGAGTATAATTTTGCAAGGTGTGATTCTCTGCTCTTCTCTCCAAACCATAAGAAGTGTTAAACACCCCCACGTCCTAGCCACTGACAGTCTCTGCTGTCCGTCCCTCGTCCGGCAGGGTTCGTCCAGTTCATCGAGTCGTCGGCCGTGGCCGAGGTGCTCAGCACTGAGGGCAGCATCCTCAACTTCTTCCGCAAGCACCACCCGTCTGAGACGGGCCCGTACGGCGTCAGCGCCGACGTCATGGACACCTACATCCGAAGCTGTGGTCAGTAATTGCTACATTCTGTCTGTAGCCTCTCCGAAATCGTCTGTCTGCCGATACTGTCTGGGTCTTGTTTTTCCAGTGTGTCCTATGTAGTGTTTCGTATGATGAATTAATTCTCGTTTTTGTGCCAGTGTAGACCCATCGTTCATGTTATCTGTGTTTCGAGTGTTATTCTGAGTTTCTAATTGCGGTTTGTGACCAAGGCCGTGGTATCCATGTCGGCGTCTTTGCCTTTGAGATCATACCGCGGCGTGGTGTAGTTGTGTATATCTCAGCGGCAAGAGACGCTGATGGTGCCCAGACACCGACCGGCGGCGTGACCTCGAACGATGACGGCTCTCAGCCGCGACTGAGGGCGTGTTTTGGGCGGGATCACTGATAGCCTTGGGGACCATGTGGCGGGGCTCTATCGTGGCACGCCTCCAGAGTCTGATGTAAACAGATAGTGTACGGTAATCGACCGCCTTCTGCTGTCCATCAATATAACAATAGTTATCTGCAGTTAATTTTATTTCCAGTTATTGTGGGTGGGCTGTTCAGGACTACCGGTTTTGTATCGGGGCCTTCAGAAGGACTGCCGGCTTATACTTAGTTGGTTTACTTACAGCCACTATTTCAACGACCAAGAGACTGACCCTCCCCCTTCCTCCCCGTAGCGGGCTACTGTGTCATCACCTACCTGCTGGGCGTCGGTGACCGGCACCTGGACAACCTGCTGCTGACCAAGTCGGGCAGCCTGTTTCACGTCGACTTCGGTTACATCCTCGGCCGCGACCCCAAGCCGCTGCCGCCGCCGATGAAGCTCAGCAAGGAGATGGTGGAGGCGATGGGCGGCATCAACTCCGAGCACTACCAGACGTTCCGCAAACAGTGCTACACCGCCTTCCTCCACCTGCGCAGGTAATGCAATACAGCACAAAGGATGCTGAGGTAATACAGTGTAGCAGTGCTGTGTAAAGGTAGGCTACTCAGCGTTTGTCTGGCCGCGTTATCTTTGCACGGAAATTTACCAATGGATTACCGCAGCGCCAGTACCTTTCGCAATGTCTCTGCACTCCCCACGTAGATGTCGCCCTGTGGACCAGTCGCCCACACCGACTGACCGCTGACGTTCGTCCACAGGCACGCCGATGTGATCCTACACCTGTTCTCACTGATGGTGGACGCCAACATTCCCGATATCGCGCTCGAGCCCGACAAGACGGTCAGGAAGGTCCAGGACAAGTTCAGGTGGGTCCGCGGCAGAGCCGGGGGTGAGCGGGGGTCAGACGGGTCGGTGCATATTGCACAGCCTGGGGACATGCTGGTGGAACGATGGTGATTTTCTGAGCGTTCGTTGCCAGACGAGCTTCGCTGAGGAGTTAGAAACAGTAGCAAGCGAGGAATGTGGTAAGAATGGATCAAAATGCAGAGTATATAATGCAGAGTCAGTTCCCTTACACCGAGTTCAGCAGAAATCACTTATTTCACTTAATGAACAGTACAATCGATAATCAAGAAACAAGACTGATTGACGTGAAATGAAACTCATGTAAAAAATGGTAAAGTGAAGTGGGCTACTGCATAGACATAGTCAACTTCTTGAGCTTGTAATAATCTGAATTCCTCATAACACTCATTTAACCCGCGCACCGACGGGGGTCTGCGCCAACTTAGTACCGACGGGGGGGGGCGGATGACCGCCCCCCCCTGAGATCTCGAGAACGAAGCAAGATAGCGACAAGCGGTAAACGGCATCGGATACGCACGGCCAAGATCTACAATTTTTACTAAGGTCATTTTCAGGTCAGGTCAAAGATGACGTCACAGGGGTCGAAAAAGTCAAAATGGCGGCGCTAGATATGGAGAGAGTTTTCCTCGAATAACTTTCGAATTAGTCAAGATAGGAACAAACTAAGGGCATCATCGTGATCCTCTCGTCAATCCGCATCGAATGATATATATGTTGACCTCGAAAGGTCAAGGTCAAAGGTTGACCTCAGGTCACGTGACCTCGAGGTCATCATGTATATCATTCGATGCGTCTTGACGAGCTGAACACAATGAGACGATCCACGCGTCTGTATCTTGTTCCTGTACGGAGTTATTGGCCAAAAACCTTTGGTGACCTTTGATGACGTCACATGACCTCACAGCTGCCCAACAGCAAAACAGACCTCAAGGTAGTGAAGGTTGATCGTATATGAAGTCATGTATGGTATATGGGGCCATTCCGACCCGTTTTAGTGGTAAAAACAGGGAATTGATTTTTCCCCCATTGACTTATAATGGGGAGGTCGCGAAATTGACCTGACCTTAGGTCACCGATATCAAAATTCCGAGATACACAAATTGTAGCTACTAATGACCTAATAATATCCTGCGACTTTCAAAGGCCTCCGACATCTACTGTAGCTCTGGCACGGTGACAAAGTTGCAAAAAAGTGACTTGAGGTTGGGTCATTCAAAGTGACCTGGTGACCTGACCTTAAATGTTAGGAGGTTCAAACTTGCACACCATGTGTAAAATTGATGAGGTTATAGTCATACCAAATTTCGCGGCGCTACGCGCCGCGGTTTTCCCGCTATTCGCGAAAAACCTCAGGGGGGGGCGGATATCCGCCCCCCCCCGTCGGTGCGCGGGTTAATATTCTGAAACAGCAGACCGCAGCACGGCAGCAGATGGTTCTTCCGTTGGCAACGTTAGCGACATCAGCTCTTTATCATTGCCAGGCCCCTCCCACTTTCGGATGTGTCCCTTGTTAGCCTGTTCCGATCTCGCCCCTTCACCTGGCTTGCTACCATCTGCTGGCCTCTGCGCCTCTCTGCTGGCCTCCCCTCACCGTCTGCGCTGACCTCCTCCTATACTCTGCTGACCTTTCCCATCCTCTAGCCCTCCCACAGTCTGCTCATTGCTGACCTCTGCCTCGCCGTCTTCTGACCCCTGACCCTCGTCCCCAGGCTGGACCTCTCAGACGAGGAGGCCGTGGCCTACATGCAGAACATGATTGACGTGTCTGTGACGGCCGTCATGGCCGCCCTCGTGGAGCAGCTGCACAAGTTTGCCCAGTACTGGCGGCGGTAGGGCCGCCCCCGCCCCCGCCCCCGCCTCCAGCCGAGGGCGGACCTTCCTGGCACCCTGTGATATAAATGTGAGTGTGTATATGTGCCGGCGACCTGTGCCTACTGTCGCTATTTATCGTGTCATTATGATGGTGTACCAATTGTATGCAAATATATCGTTTGTATAATCAGTATCTACTCTATTTTTAGTTATAAGAAAATACGAACAGATGCGAGGTCAAGATGTTGACTTTTTGATCAAATCGGCAACATAAATCACTGGTTACATCTATAGAGAAGTCAATGATAAGCTAGCATCTGCAGCAATTGTATTTTCAGGTGCAAGATATGAACATTTTTTAATCACATATGTTGGTGTCTTCACAGGCACTAGCGTCACCTCAATGACTGACAAGTGACAGTATAGGATTTCATAATGTAACGGTAAAGGAAGGAATGAAAGGTCTGCGGTAGAGGTGATGGCGGCTCGCCCGACGGGGTGCCGAAACCGGGGCTGGGAGTGGCTGACCTCTGACGGCAGCTGAGGTCACGATGTCGGTCTATGTAGTTCCCATTTCCCGCACCATCCCGGCATGGCTCACTGTTGGCTAATGTTGGGCTGTGACTAATATCTCGCGACCAGTAACTGTTGACCTCTCGACGCGCTCGTAAACCCTAATGAACGAACGAATAGTTGCCACGGTTCACGGTAAACCTTCAATCCCGTCGTAAGACGTTCTCCACAGTCCACACTTATGTGAATGAATGTCACCAAGCCACGTTTTGTCACACCGAAGCTACACCTGTCTCGCGTGACGCATGGCCTGGCTGTATTTTGGGGGCCGGCTTGCACTCTTGCCGCTAGGAAAAAGCTGCATTGCGCTGTCTTTGTGTGCGGTGTGCACCGTGTCGGCGCTTAGAGCACGGTCAACGTAGTGGAGCACCTTCAAATAGGATCTTCAGTGGAGGAACTTCTGGATGTTCATCATGATCAACCCGAGCAGCCGGTAACAACAGCCGCGACACGGTCGACACTACCCAGGTCCCAGCTCCATTGTACATACTCATAGTCCATAGTCCTTCAGTCGGCAGCGACTTGCATCACCACTGACCCCAGCCATCACTCCACCTTGTCTTTATCGGGCTGTGCCCTTGTCGCGATCACCCGGAACACCCAGTAGAACAGCAGTGCCACCGTGCCCAGCGCCACGGAGCCGCTCACCAGCGCCGTGCCGAGCACATCCAGACAGTAGTACTGGAGCAGGGTGGGCGCCGGCCGCCGCCGCCACGCGCGCTCGAACAGCAGCAGGTGGCGGACGTGGTGCGCCAGCTGCGCCGCGGGGGAGACGGCGTCATGGCGCAGCGCGTCCGCCCAGGCGCGCACCGCCCGCCGTGTACCGGCGGACGAGGTGACCGTGGTGACGGCCGAGCGGAGAGCGTCGGCGGTCAGCTGACGGCGGTCCAGCTGAGTGGCCACACCTGACGGAGAGAGGAGACAGAAAGGGGCACTGGGTAGAAGCTATACTTTCCCCTTGAATGACGTGGTATTCGTGACCGTATCTCTCGAAAGTTTACGAATCAAGAATTAAACCTAACATGAAATAAATAATTAACTTCGCTTTCAATGGGGCTCTTGACATTTTCACTGAAGTTCGCCACAAATTTCTTAAGCAGCTGGCGACCCTGTCGTTCGCCACGAGGGCTTGCGGCGTGCGTTTGTCTCAGTAACATTTATGATCCTCGAGCCACTAGGTGTCAGAGTACTTCGCCGAAATACCAATATAGGTGTCGTCCTGATCGCCATCTGAGGGCAGACTCACCTAGCGCCACGGCCCTGGCGGCAGCCATCTTCTGACCGGCCGTGAACGGAATGCAGATGATTGGCACGCTGAAATGGATCGCCAGCAGAACGGAGGCCGGCGAACACTCGCTAATCAGCAGCCGCGCCCGTGGGTGAGCTGTGGTACAAACGGGACACAGACCAAAACGTGTCACAGCACTGCGCGGTGCATGGACAAGTGAGCCTACACCGGATGAAGAGTTCATTGGCATCGAATGAAACAAGCGACAACAGTAGTTATAAATGGACAAGTATTGTATCGAGAGTACATGAACCTCCAGGCTCCACGAATCAAACTATTAAAACAGTTACATTTAAGGCGTACCGGTTTCGTCTATTGACTTCTTCAGCGCCGTATGAAACAAGGAACAAGAAAACGAGCACAACATCAATCGTTTGAAAAAAAAACCTTTTTTTCAAACGATTGATGTTGTGCTCGTTTTCTTGTTCCTTGTTTCATACGGCGCTGAAGAAGTCAATAGACGAAACCGGTACGCCTTAAATGTAACTGTTTTAATAGTTTGATTCGTGGAGCCTGGAGGTTCATGTACTCTCGATACAAGCGACAACAGTAACTGCAGGCTCCTTTTGCATGACAGCCAACAGCATTGAGCCATCGGTGGTGAATGAAAACAGAGTAATTCACTGCGCGTAACCAGTGCTTTGGCAAGCATTACGCGCACAGTTCGGTACAGACCGATCTCTCGAAGCTCTGCATCCCCCGATCTCACCGAGGGCGTCGGAGGCGGGTGCCGAGCTGCGGATGATCCTCGGCGCGCCCTCCTTGGTGACATTGCTGAGGTCCATCGGCGTCAGCGGCGAGCCGGTGGCGCCCTCTGTGAGGGTGGCCGTGAAGCTGTCCGGCAGGGTGGTGTACGGATGGTCCAGGCGAATGACCAGGAGGCCGGCTGTGCTGACGGCCGATTGCTGGTCCTGAGGGAGGGTGGTGGGGCGAGTTAGCGGGCAGGCCAGGGACAGGAGGTAATCCTGTCTGGGCGGATACAGGAGGCAGGGGCGGAACAGAAACAAGGTCGAGCAGGCACAGTGATAGGGATGGACACAGGGACAGAACCGGACAGGGACAGGTCCGATTCCAAACGGCGAACAGGGGTGGGTAGGACCGGACAGGGACAGGACCGGGCATGGACAAGACCGGACAGGGACAGGACCGGACAGGGATAGCACCGGACAGGGATAGGACCAGACATGGACAAGGCCGGACAGGGATAGGACCGGACACTGGGACAGGTACAGGACAGAAAAACCAGCCATGCGGATTTTGACGGAAACGGACAGATGTGCCGAATCGGGCACAATGACAGGGATAAGGGACAGGGTCACGGTATATCTGCTTGGATATATCTTGTAAGATCTCGTGAGCTGTCGCGCCAATACAGTCGTTGCGTTTATGTTTTTAAAAGCCGACTCAGGGCTAGGCGAATAAAGTCACATGAAACTGATGGCCTAAAGGGCAGCATAGGGTGCAGCTGCAGGGAAGCCTCATAAAGCTGTCGTAGTTATCAACGTAGAGAACAATACAGCCAATACATAGGTAGGACTAAACGGTCTCCAATCTTCAGAGGAGATTGGAGTCAGTCCCGCGCTTTAATCAGCGGCTTTTCCGTCTCACCTTGGGTAGATCGCCGAAGCGGGCGCACTCGATGCAGCCGAGGAAGCGGAGCCGGTGGTCGCACGGCACGTCCTGCTGGAGGCGCGCGTCGCCGCTGACGAACACGGCCGAAACGCGCTCGTAGGCGGCCTCCAGGTCGGTGTGGCCGACTAGCGCGGCCGCCGGCACCTGGTACTGGCGCTGCGTCAGCCGCGTCACCGTCCACCAGCGCCACAGGTTGCCCAGCCGCGCGTAAAAGTCGCCGTCGCCCAGCGGGTAGCCGTGCACCGGCAGCCGACTGACGGGGTAATGACCACCCAGCTGCTGCGTCACCCACGGCAGGCCGACCGACGAGGGCATCAGGCCCACCACGGCTGCGTCCGGTGCCAGCGCCAGCACGCACGCGTCGTCCAGGAACAGTGTGGTGATGATGAGGTCGGGCCGCAGGTCGGCCAGCACGCCGGTCCGCTGCAGCGCGCCGCAGCCTGCCAGCCGCGAGGCGACCACCGCGTCCGGAGTGAGCAGCGGATGCCGCTCCCAGCGCTCCAGCCACGAGAGCCGCCGGCCCGGGTCGGACTCGGTGGTGGCCAGACGGATGGTGGCGGCCGGCGGCGCCGGCTCCGGGCCCGAGTCGCCGTACAGCACGGCCGTCACCCGGTGGTCGGCTGCCAGCAGCTGCGCCAGCTCCGCGACCAGCAGCTGCGCCTCCTGGTCGGTGGTCACCAGCACCACGTGCTTGGCGGCCGCAGCGTCGGCAGCCGACAGCGCCGCCGGCAGAGACAGCACGGCCAGTACCGTGAGCGCACGCGCCGCGGCACGGGGGAGAGTCATCGCGACCGGCGGATCACGGGAGCACTCTGTCCAGCGCTGACTCCACCACTGCTCCGACCACCGTCACCGTCACGGCTCCGTCACACTGTCACACTGTCGCCGGTCCGGCACCGCCCACAGCTGGGCCCTCCGCGGCGTCTCTCTGTGCCGGAAAGGGTGACGTGGCGCCCCTGCCCGCTCCCTCCGCCGGCCCACCCGCGTCTGCTGCGCTCATCCCGACGAGCCAGTCAGCTGGCCATGTTTATATTGAGTCCGCTCTAAACGCCGGAGACGCAGAGCGGCATGCTCGCGACAGCAGCCGGACGTTGAACTCTGCACGGTACGCAAACTCCGGGAAAGTAGTTTGTTACATTCGTCGCCGGCCCGTTCAGATCCGGAGCCGATGTTGAAACGGCTTGTTTCGCCGAGTTCGAACTCGACGTCATTTGTTCAAAACTTTCGGTCGAGACGAGACCACCAAAGTTCAAAGATTACATATTACGATTATTTGGTGGCGACTGCAACTCTGCAGGCTAAATGATGAGTTTGGGTGAATAAGGAACATGTTTGGGCGTCCCCATACAAATATAAAAGCCATTTGCGGCTGGCGCCAGTTATTGGTAACTTGGGAATTAGTGAATTATTCCAATCTATGTATAGGTGACCATCTAACTCTACACATCACATGCTATGATAGGATGTGATCATCTTCCCACGTCTAGCTCTATACAAATGGTATGGAATACGTTCTCATGTACCCTAACTTCAGTAAGTACCTAATGCGATACTTAACCTTAACCGGTGCTGGAACTCCTTCCCGTATCTCCTTTCCCTATGCAAATTCAGACCATCTCGGGCCGCAAATGTGTCTCCAGAGTCCAAACCCGTCTTGCAGAGGTCATCCATGTATTCTGCATTCTGTTGCATCGACCGACCACAGGCCTTGCAGCCCACGTACAGTGGCGGCCACAGTGTATGTAAGCTATAGGTGACTCAGCATCCGCACACAACGACGAAGACGGCACATTACACGTACAGTTGGTTGACTGCACCAGAATGACGTTTTGTTCTTCACGGGCGATGAGTTGCCTGGAGAGGTAGGCTGTGCCGCATCACACGGACTGTGTTCACACTTCACAGTTAATGCTCTAGCCCAAGGCTCACCAATCACCATAGAAATTCATGCGTGATAAACGGCACAACTTAGCGTTCCAGTCAACGGATAGCGTCTGAGGAGTGGAACATCAATGTAGTCAGCTGTAGGGGAGAGTGGGGCAATGGCGGACGGTGGGTAATGCCGGCCACCCATCTCTAGTGAGTACTTTGTCCATCACTAATCAGCTGATGTTGTTTACATTTCAGTTGAGCGCCATTCTAGCACGTGGTGCAATTTTGTCACGGTAGCTCCATTATTTTCATTTTTATAGCGCTAAATGTGTTTTTCGTATCTGATTTTTAATTTTTGTTGCATCTATTTGCTGACTGTGAAATGTGTCAACGCATTTTCAGAAGTGCTGCTTTGCAATGACCTTCAATTAAGCCTTTCTTAGGCGACTGCTGAATGTGAGGCGTTTGCGGCGCAATGCCTTTGACTGCTACCTGCTTTCTTAAAATAAAGCTGACCTCGGGGTAATACCGGACACGTGTCCGGAATGACTCCACGTGGTTTTGTTTGCGACTTCCGTCGTTAAAGCTCAACGTTTCGGGTTGCTGTGTTTACGGCTGTGTTAGTTTGCTTGCTGTGTTTACGGTTGTGTTAGTTTGCTGCTCTGTTGGTGCCGCGCTGTTGTGTTGCAGCGAGTGCAGTGTTGTGTTGCAGTGCAGTGTACTGTTAACTGCTGAATACAGTTGTCGTTTCTTAATTCTCACTTAAATTTCCATCAAAAGAACGGTTTAAGGATGAATACCAGCGACGATATTTCGATTTTTTGTGCTATTGCACTTAGTGGCCGGCATTACCCCTCGCTTTTTTGCACCTCCATTTTTCACCACATTTTCGCGTAGGCTCTGAATCTGTCATCAGTGATTTGAGATACTAAAACTGGGTGCTATCTGAAAGCCTATTCCTTTGGCTATAACCACAGTCAAAATCACCATAAAATAGCTTCAAATAGCTAAGCTATTGAGCAAAATGCTTATGGTGTCGCCATTGCCCCACTCTCCCCTATGTATGTACGTCCCCTGAGAACGAATAAACTCACGGATGTCCGATAAAACGGAACACGATGATGCCAACATGTCAGCAATGGGTGCATGCTGTAAGAAGCGATTACAAAGTGCAGGGATACGGACAGTGAACCCTAACTTCACAGTATTCACACGACCGAACGGTACGTGGAACAGCGCCGTCTATATTGAGACCGTCTGCTGGGGACTAATAGGCCAAAGACTGCACTATAATCAGGGGCATATGGAGGCAGTCGATCCTATCGCAATACATAAGCGGGACTCGAGCACTGACCAAGCGGTTCAGAAGACACACATAATCGAGACTGGAGTCATTTCCCTCGAATTTCGATGCCAGCCACATCAAGAAATGATGTCGGATTTCTCGAGCCGCACAAGGTGCGTTTTGCTGCATCGCTCCAAAAAAAGCTGCCGTACTCAGCGATCGAACGAACGTGAGCCTTGATAGGCGGCAAGCAGCGCAGTTCGATTGAATTTGACCCGCCGGGGACATCGAGGCAACTGTCTCCATCTCCTAGTTCTCTGTCTTCTGCCCTCGGATCATGGGAATACAGCGGTCACATCATCTAATTTCTAGTTCTCTATCCTCTGCCATTCCCTCGGGTCAGGGTCACCTGCTCTGTGACTTGTCGGTCCTCTGAGGCTCCTCGACCAGGGTGACGGGTGACCTCAGCCGCCGCTCCCGGCACCGACACCTTCCTCTGTAGGTCACCGGCGCCGACCTGACAGCGCTCGGCGCCCGCAGCGGTCATTATTTAGTGAGCCTCTCGCTGGTCGCTGCTCTAAAAGTCATGATCTCTAATGCACTGTTAGAGGCGGTCTGTAGCAACAGAATGTGGGTGGACGTTAATGCACAGACATGGCGGTAGGCACAGTAGTTATCTTCGACGAAAAATTGCATGCCTTTGTTATTGTTCCAATCATGTGCTATTGTTTTTGGGTCAAGTGTGGTTTACTTGCCTGTTTATTATTAATGTATTATAATTCATATTATTGATTATTACTTACTATTTTACATTATTATTTTTGCATATTATACCTTATTTTACCTGTAATTCGCTTTGCCTTTCTTTCTCGCTTTGCGTTTCTGTACACTCTTCCTCTCTTTAGCTGTATCTTCCTTTGTTTTCCATTTTCCCTCCTCTCTTCAGTCTTCTCTTCCATCCCATCCCCTCCCGCTTTGGTGGTGGTCCCCAGAGCTCAATATCCCGTGTTTTCCACCAGCATCCGGCCGTGAGCGGTACATAGTCACGCACCCAGCCCACCGGCCTCTCTATCGCCCCCCCCCCCCCCGCTCCCCTGCGCACCCGTCTAAACGGCATAGCTGTGTGCAGAGGGAGTGATGACACACTGTGCGAGTTTACAATGTGTAAAGCCGTATGGTAGCCGGGTGACATACTCAACAGTTCTAAGCCTAAAGTCACATAAGCAACGACCAAATAACGTTTATATCCATGCGTTTAACTTGTAGTCGGACATCGGCATCGCACTTTTAGGAGCGGGCTCGGTCCTCTCACCGTGACAGGTCTATAAAGGTGAGTGCGAGTGTCGAGGGTCGTCTACCCACGTATACCCGCCCGAGTGTCCCGACACGAGCGTGTCTGAGTGTCCGCTGTACGCACTCTGCCGGCGAGAGGGCCGCTTCGTCGTTGATCGCTGACAGACGGATTTATCAAATAACTGACAAAAGTAGGGTCGAGTGCCTAGTAAAAAAGTGCAAAGAATGTAAGGAAAGAACAGCGGCTAATGTTAATTGATGATCACGTATATGTTAATAATTCTGCAATGGTCTCATTGACACTTTTCCATGAAATTCTTGAGACTGGATAAAATAATGACAGTTTCGATGGAAGATAATATCATGAATTAATGTACGTACCTATAGTAAAACTGCGAGCAGATAGGACAGGTCTGCAGGCGGGACGGTTAACAGGCCGAAGAAAACATTGGGACTTTCTTGACTTTAGACGATTTTTCGGTGTTTACTGTTTACGTTCTTGTTTAAAGACATCTATTATAGTGTCACGGCTCGCCTTATTTTTGCCAGTTTACGATGACATGTACACGTACAACAATATTTCAAATAATAATACGTCATTCCCACGCTTAAAGACAGATTGCGCGAAATTGTCCCGCGGTTGCGTATTGGGTCTGTAGGTCCCGCCAAATTTGCAACAAAGGAAAGGTTTATATGAATGAATGCACGTGTCATTATACTTGGCCTACATTACCAAAAATCATAGGTAAATAGAGTACCTATTGCAGCGTAAAATAATAATGCTCTGGGATTAAAAATGCCTTTCTTTCCTATCTAATATTTTGACAACACATTTTTATTATCAGGCCAATGCTCCTCATGCTCTTCAGCATTGTATTTCATCATGTCTGGCTGCAGAGACGGGCCGCACAGAAAAACGTGTGAGGTCATTGACCGATGCAGTTTTGGTAGGCAGCCTTCGAATATGCGGCAAATACTAAAGTGTGAGAAAAGTGTGGTCTCTTGGTGCTTACAAATGGAAGTGAACATCTATAAATACCTGTGGATATAAAGAAGCTGTGCCTGAACATTACTATGTTCAAGCAGTTTATTTTTCACTCCTCATTCGTCACCTGAATGGCCACCGAAGCATCTGTTCTCTTCAGATACATCAGGTAAGACGTACATTTTACATAGGCATAATAGAAACAGCATTCTCGTGGTGCTCATGAACGTTATGACGCTCATGGACGTAATGAACGTAGGTAAGGGGTTAGGGAGCATTACCCTCATCGTTCTGTTTAGGGTTTTCCGGTAATTTATTTTACGTAAACTATTTACCTACTCCACAGCATGATTCATATTGCACAAAAATTGGAATCTTTGCATTTCAAAATTTATAATTCAATTTCAAATGCGGGTTTCTATCCCTTATTCCATACTAAACAGTTCGTTCTTTTGTATTCATGTCAATTCATATAAGCACGATACCGTATGTCAATCACATATCGATCATATCGATCTCAGTTTGCAAAAATTCAATTAATTATACATGAATGTGGTGTTGATTGTGGATGCCTATTCCACACCGCCAAAAATGAGATAATAACGCGCCATTACCTCCCTACCTATCCACACATCACTGATAATGTACCGTTAATGTTAAACTAAATCATGTAGGTAGGTTTTGATGCCCCGAGTCACTATGTCCGTCATGAGGTAAGTCTGGGCTTAACCCTATTCCTGGCGGGCTCCGCCGGGACAAGAAACTGGCGGGGGGGGGGCCGATTCGGCCCCCCCCCTGAGATCTCGAGAACGAAGCAAGATAGCGACAAGCGGTAAACGGCATCGGATACGCACGGCCAAGATCTACAATTTTTACTAAGGTCATTTTCAGGTCAGGTCAAAGATGACGTCACAGGGGTCGAAAAAGTCAAAATGGCGGCGCTAGATATGGAGAGAGTTTTTCTCGAATAACTTTCGAATTAGTCAAGATAGGAACAAACTAAGGGCATCATCGTGATCCTCTCGTCAATCCGCATCGAATGATATATATGTTGACCTCGAAAGGTCAAGGTCAAAGGTTGACCTCAGGTCACGTGACCTCGAGGTCATCATGTATATCATTCGATGCGTCTTGACGAGCTGAACACAATGAGACCATCCACGCGTCTGTATCTTGTTCCTGTACGGAGTTATTGGCCAAAAACCTTTGGTGACCTTTGATGACGTCACATGACCTCACAGCTGCCCAACAGCAAAACAGACCTCAAGGTAGTGAAGGTTGATCGTATATGAAGTCATGTATGGTATATGGGGCCATTCCGACCCGTTTTAGTGGTAAAAACAGGGAGTTGATTTTTCCCCCATTGACTTATAATGGGGAGGTCGCGAAATTGACCTGACCTTAGGTCACCGATATCAAAATTCCGAGATATACAAATTGCACATACTGGTACCCTAACTAAACCCTGAAGAGAAGAAATTGATCGGTCAAAAACTCTAGCTCTGGCGTGATTGCAAACTTTTCTGAGGTAGGGTCACCAAACCGCCTCTGGTGACCTGACCTGAGGTCAGATCAACTCAAAATTTTCAGACATGTTGCGTAGAAGCCTTTTAGGAAAGTCAGAAAATTTGAGCTTCCTAGCTCAACGCGTTTGGGAGAAATAACCAAAAAACCTCAGGGGGGGGGCTCCTGAGGCCCCCTCCCCCCCCGCCAGGAATAGGGTTAATAGGTCTTAGCTTGTAGAATATCAAATTACTGGGTAACTTGCTTTTTGAGCTGCGCGGCTCAAACATATTAACATGCAGCGTAACATTTTTCCCCGACACTCATCTCACAGAAACATCATAAAGATGATACTGTAATGGGGCAAGAAGCGTCACACCTATCTACGAGTAGACGGTTTTAAACAATTCCCTTTTTATACGACGGCACTTATTATTATCACCCCTAACCCCGCTGCGAGTAAGCTTGATTCGTAATATATTGTTCAAATATATATTATACATGCATACACAGATATCAGTAGTACTACTGTTATCTGTGATACATACATATATATATATATATATATATATATATATATATATATATATATATATATATATATATATATATATATATATATATATATATATATATATATATATATATATATATATATATATATATATATATATATTAACCCTCGCATGTGTAGGGGGGGGGTCGGATGGACCCCCCCCCATGGTTTTTCGTGAATAACTCGCGTAAAAAGCGGCCGATCGCAACGAAACTTTCAGTACCCTCGCATTGATCAATTTGACACCTACCCTGAAAATTTCATGACCCTGACCCAAATGACCTTTGACCTGTGACCTCTTTTCCGAGACCATGTTTGGCCGGAATCGCGATTTCGCGTATGTCGGCTCGCACTAGCCGCGTGTTTGCAAGCTTTTCGTGGTTTCAAACGTTCAAACATGTGATTTGATGTTACTCCCGTGTGTGTCAAGGTCACTTGAAGGTCAGGTCAGGTCATTGACCTTTGGTGACCTCGGGTGACCTCGGGTCACTTTTTCGAGTTTTACATGTTTCTAGGCTAGTTTTTGGAGCTGAATTCGAATTTAGCAACCATTTGAACATTTACGAAGTAGTTTTGGTGACTTCGTAACATGTTACGAAGCTGTCAGAGGCGGTTGACACGTACTACGAATACCCGCCACGACGCCTACTGGTTGACCTGACCTGACCTGACCCGACCTGGTCTAAATGCTTCAAGACATCATCTGTGATCAAAACTAACACGATATTCGTGATCAGCACCCCGAAAAACCCCTTAGCAGCCACACTTTACGACTTTCTAACAGGTCCCGATTTTCACGACTTTGGGTCATTGACCTGACCTGGAAGGTCAACCAATGACCTAGGACCTTAAAATTGGGTATCATCGGCTTCCTCTCGTCACGGGCAACACGCTCGTTTTTTCTGCGAAGCTCTAGCTCGATCAGGGGCCAAACCGCAAGGGGGGGTCCAACCGACCCCCCCCCCCCCTACACATTAGAAGCTGGCAAACGCCGCACACATGCGAGGGTTAATATATATTATACCTAAGCATGAATATGTCAGGATAGTGCTTAGTGTGCATGCCGTAAAAGTCCCTTTGCGTGCTGCATACATTTTTGTTCGGGTTCTAGAAGGGGAATCACGAAATAGTACCAGCTTTTTAGGATAAAGAAATGTGTGTCTCTTAGGCCATTGTTTAATGGACATAAAAGGTATGTTTATTTTATATTCTATGCTATAGTTGTTGACATTAACCCGCGCACCGACGGGGGTCTGCGCCAACTTCGCACCGACGGGGGGGGGGGCGGATGACCGCCCCCCTGAGATCTCGAGAACGAAGCAAGATAGCGACAAGCGGTAAACGGCATCGGATACGCACAGTCAATATCTACAATTTTTACTAAGGTCATTTTCAGGTCAGGTCAAAGATGACGTCACAGGGGTCGAAAAAGTCAAAATGGCGGCGCTAGATATGGAGAGAGTTTTTCTCGAATAACTTTCGAATTAGTCAAGATAGGAACAAACTAAGGGCATCATCGTAATCCTCTCGTCAATCCGCATCGAATGATATATATGTTGACCTCGAAAGGTCAAGGTCAAAGGTTGACCTCAGGTCACGTGACCTCGAGGTCATCATGTATATCATTCGATGCGTCTTGACGAGCTGAACACAATGAGACCATCCACGCGTCTGTATCTTGTTCCTGTACGGAGTTATTGGCCAACAACCTTTGGTGACCTTTGATGACGTCACATGACCTCACAGCTGCCCAGCAGCAAAACAGACCTCAAGGTAGTGAAGGTTGATCGTATATGAAGTCATGTATGGTATATGGGGCCATTCCGACCCGTTTTAGTGGTAAAAACAGGGAGTTGATTTTTCCCCCATTGACTTATAATGGGGAGGTCGCGAAATTGACCTGACCTTAGGTCACCGATATCAAAATTCCGAGATAAACAAATTGTAGCTACTAATGACCTAATAACATCCTGCGACTTTCAAAGGCCTCCGACATCTACTGTAGCTCTGGCACGGTGACAAAGTTGCAAAAAAGTGACTTGAGGTTGGGTCATTCAAAGTGACCTGGTGACCTGACCTTGAAAGGTAGGAGGTTCAAACTTGCACACCATGTGTAAAATTGATGAGGGAATAGTCATACCAAATTTCGCGGCGCTACGCGCCGCGGTTTTTCCGCTATTCGCGAAAAACCTCAGGGGGGCGGATATCCGCCCCCCCCCCGTCGGTGCGCGGGTTAAAAATGCATTATGAAATTCCTTTAGGTATGCTCATATGGATGTTGGTTGTAATAGTGCACTGAATATAGTCGCTTTACTGATCACTTAGCTACTTCACCTCCAACACATCCTTTGACATGTCTGTCTAACACTGACATCTCTGACAACGCTCTTGACATGTCGAAGTGGCATCGATTCCCCTTCCTCATTGCACTGCGTCTTTGCACCTGTCAATACCTAGCTCAATGACATCTTAACCAACGAAACCTAACAACAGCTTACTACAATCTACTACAATAGTTGGTGTTTGCAGTGGGCCGATAAGATAGCCGGTCGGAATTCAACAGACGAACTTTTATGATTACGTGAGCGCTGAACATTCGGCGGTGTCCTCACTCATAACCCAAAAGATTAGAGTCTGGCTGAAAAAAGGCCGTCATCGCGATAAGTGTGAAGCGAGCTGTAATGCAGACGCACTGATCATGTGAGATGTCACGCGTGGCTAGCAGCGCCGGTCCTTACGTACGCACTCGATCCCGCCATCGGTGCCCGCCGGTCCCACATTGCCGTGGGCCGCCGTCGGACGCTGTGATCCCAGTGAGCACAGGTGAGTGAGACGCCACCTGCCGACCGCGGCGGAGGCCGGCATTGAGCGACGCCGGCCGCCCGTACAGTCACCCGTACAGTCGCCTTCTCGCGGCTGTCGGAGCGCCAGTGCAGATACAGCCTCCGCCGCGTACGGCGCACGCCGGCAGACGGTGGGGCAGTGATCAGGTGGAAAAAGTCGTATTTTCGGCCCTGCCACGGTCAGGAGAAGATCCATTCCGGAGATCCAGGTGCGTGTCCGGGTACGTGTTGACCGACCGACCAACCGACCGAGCAACCGACCGAGCA